TTACAATACTTTTGTAAATCATTAAAATTTAAGTTTTGTTAACATTTCAGCATAGGGACTGTCCATAAATGATGTCCACACTGGAAGGTAGGGAGGGAGGTTAAGACAAGTCGTACAGAAATAAGACAAGAGGAAGGCGAGGGTTGAACTTCTGTGAACGTCCGTATATTTCATTAAAATTTATACAGCATTTTATTATATTTATTTCAAAATTTGTATGTTTTATTTCTAGTTATAGTATCTATCATTCATAAAGTGATAAAGGTTTAAGGAGGGTTAAGTTTTGATGGACGACGGAAGAGGGCACGGGGTTATGGAAACTTGGACAAATTGGAACAAGAGGGAAAGGGAAGTAAAATTTCCAGAAAAATAAGGACGTAATTTATGGACAACCCCATATTAAATTTTACTCCAATATCAGTAAAATTTCGATTGGGCTATCCGAATTAATTGGAATGTTGAGCAATCCGGACATGCAGAATATTCGAATAATTGAACTTTTGCTTTTAATGGTCATTTTTTTCTTCTAGTTAAACACCCCGTTATGTGTGGTACTGTATATGTGTACAGAGTATATAATTATGTTAAATAAAATATTAAATGTGAAAATGTACAGTACAGTACAGTACCTACAAATGAATGTACTGTACTGTACTTTATTCTCTACTTATAGGAAAAAATTACTTTTTATCCATATACAGCATGTATATATATATAAATCACAAGGAAAATTATAAATCAAACACTTTAAAATAAATGGATTTTTTTAAATACCGTAGAATAAACCAGGATCAGAAATTTAAATTAGACAAAGTAATAATACAATTTTGTAAAGTTGATAAACTTGAATATACAATTGAAACATTCAATATTTAAAAAAAACCCTCAATATTAAAGAACAATGGAACAAAAAAAGTTTTTTAATAATAAACATTTTTTTTCAAATTGGAAATTATAAATAACAGATGGCAGCACAAAATTATTTATCACCGATGACTTACCATTAATTTCTTTTCTAAATAATAGAAAGAATACAAATAATTGTGCTTTAATATAGAATTTTTATCTTAACCGACTTTTTTTTAAATTTTTTGATTGCGACATTACGATAAATTTAATTTAATAATAGATTACAGTTGATCCGATCAAACTGAAAATTTAATTTAAAAGACGATCAGTTTAAAAATAAATTCACATATATTTATTGAGTCATATAATTTCATCACTGGTGAATAAATTTAATAGTTTTAGTTAATTTTAAGTATCCTTAAATTGTAATAATCTATCATAAGGATCAGATATTGCAAACGAAGTTGTAGTAGTGTGAACTAATAAGCATCTATAAATGTATGAGATAATTTGAACAGTTGTAAAATGACTAAATTTTCGTTTAATCTTAATCGTTTTGAAGATTTTATAAAGGAATTTGTAGGAGTTTCATAACTCAAAAAGTACCTTGAGCTAAGAGAATTTTATTAATCTATTTTGAAGTTAAACTCCATTGTTTTATAGAGTACATTCTGAAAGAGAAATTAGATTTATATTAATGTTGCATAAACGTGAGCTGATTAAAAACTATGTTAAAACGCTTTAAAATATATTAAATTTAAGTTATGTTTATCTGCATGGGTTTAGATTATTTTTTGTAGCAAAGTTGAAATTTTTATTACTTAATTTTAGTTATAATTTATAGCGAAATATATATTATAACCACTGTATAAATCACTTTACTTCTGTAGAATTATTAACGTGAGCAATTGAATTTAATATGATAATTTATCATAACGTTAACTTATGTTATTAATATCATTACCAATTACTATGCAAGGTAGAAGTATTACGTTTGATTTTTTAAGCAATAAAATTACACGTATATGTATACGAACAACATAATTTAATTATTTTATAATTAAATGTTATATGCGAAATTATAAAAAGAACTTTTTAATTAAATTAGTTGATCAGATGATTTAATTAATAGTTGATACCAATTTTTTCCCCATTTTTTTCCTTTTGATTATTATTAATTAACACAAAACTGTATTAATAAAAGAACTACTTATACAGTTTTCTACAGTTTATTCAAATCAAAAATATAAAATAAAGATAAAGATAATGGTTCGAATAAAACGTTAATGGGTAAGAAATATTTTCAAAAATATCTCTTATCCATTAACATTGATACCATGTTGCGATTCATAAAATTTTTAAAATAGCTAACTTATGCTTAATAAATCACTCCACACATAAAAATAATAGTTTCTTTCTTTCTTTTTTTAAATATAATAGTTGATTTGCTTAAGCATTCGCATCACAAATAGCCAATCTAATACAACATTAATAATTCATAGCTGAATATCTCTCCTTCGTTCAAAGAAGAAGAAATCTTAAATAATGATAACGTATAACTTGCCTATATCTTTAATTTATATTTATTTATCTTTCTCACTCAAATCTTAAATTTACTATCGACATCAAAGTTGATATTATAGAATTTTAGATAAATATTTAAGGAAAATCGTAGATATCTTTCAAATTAAAGAGCAAAATAATTCTTAAATTCTCATCGAAATTAATTTTCTATTCACATAAATTTTAATAAACTACTTAATAATATAAAATATATAAAATTAATTATGCGATAGGGAAAAAAAAGATAAATTTAATTAATAATTTTTGAAAATATTTAAAAAAAATAAATTTATAAATTCTTTTTAAAAAAAAGTAATAAAAACTTTTTAAATGTTAATTAATGTATTTATCGGCCTTTTAATTAATTTTAAACTGGAATTTTTTTATTATTATTAATCTATAAATTCCCAAAATAACACAAGACATTATCCTTCTAATATATACGACCTTATTCTTAGGCCACACCTTCTAGATATTTTATTCTATCTGAACCAATCAGATGCGTCGTACGTCTATAGATTTACTTGTCAGAACATTCCAGCATCCGTATCTATCTCGTCTCTCGCTCCTCCCATTCCAATCGCTTAAACTTAAACTATACGTTCGTGTTTAAATGTACTTTAATGTTTATTGTTTATTTAAGAAAAAAAATAATAACCAAAATAATAAATTACAACTAAAATTTTATTTTTTATCAACTTTATTCTTTATCTATTGATCGAAATTTATTTGAAAAAATTTAGAAATTTGTGTAAAATTCTATTTAAATAATTTATAAAGATTATCACGTATTTTCGATCGAGATAATGTCCATATAGGCCTATCGAGCAGATTTAACAAATTTTTATCATGTTATATTTAAAATATATAAATTAATTAATCTTTTAAATAATACGTTTTATAATTCAGGATATTACATATATATATTATCATACAGAAC